CACACACAGACACACACAGAGACATGGAAGAACTATTATAGAAGGGTTTCTCAAACCTTGGAAATTTCATTCTATAATTATAAAAAAGAACAGATATTTAAAGTAAAGCTGTATATTAAAGTCAAAACAAAAAATCATACTAATGCATTCTTTGTTTGCTTTCCCTAGTAATGATCCAATTGTTATATCTCTTAAGAAGCGAGAATTTGATGAACTCACACATTGGCATTCTTCTAGACCTCTCAGTGGTGATTTTGAAAGAGCTCGATGCACCAGTGATGGTAAAAAACAATTGATAATGTCCAATAAATATTTTAAATGTTATTATTTATCAAATAATTGTTGTCAAACTCTTAAACATTTAACGTAGTTCAATTTATAATCTTATTTACTTCCCTTACCATTTGTTATCTTGCAAAGTCTCAATACACTCTGCAACAGGCCTAGGATAAACTAGTTTTTGAACTTCCAATCAACTTACTCTTTAGAAATGGAATTTATTTTTTAAAGTTTTAAAGCAAGAGCGGCATCCACTTCTAAAACAGCTTTCCTCCTGAAACTCTGAACTTAGAAAATGATGAAAATTATACAAATGTTTAGGTCTTTCTTTGATAGGGTCACTATGAGTCGTCTACAACTCGATGGAACTTAACAACAACAACAACAACAACAATGTTTTACATTTCATATTTATTTAACACTATTATTTTACAGACTATTGTTAAAGTTTCTTTAGATTTTTGCTCTTGTTGGCTAAAAATACTACTGTATAATTTGAATGCACTCAATGACTCAATTAATTGATGTACAATGAAATTGTTTCTCAAATTAATAATTGCATTAATTATTTGTCATAAAATTATTTCTAACAACTCTATCAATCAGAATAAAATGAACTATTTTAACAATAAATTGCTAATTTTGGCTGTGAAAGACTGTGTGGTCTAATACAGCTTGTGATTTTTTATTTAATATTTATACAGATAGGTTTACTATAGTCATGAACTATTTTATAATTAGCACAATTTTGAGATTGTAAATTGTCTATTATTTATCATACTGTTGTGAAGTTGGAAAATGTAACCAGTATTTCAAATGCCAGAAGGATTACCCACAGTAACTAGATTTCAGTAGAACTTTAATATTAAACTAAAAAGAAGAAACTGGTGATGTGCTTCCAAAAAAAGTCAGCCAATGGAAGCTTTGTGAATAGCATCAGAACACTATCTGACGTAGTGATGACGTAGATCATCCTCTAGGATGAACACCTTAGATTGGAAGACACTTAAAATATCCTTGGGGTACAGTAGCTTCTTCAGAATATAGTTCACCTTAATTATATAAATAGGGTAATTTTTAGGAATCTTTATTCACTAATATGACAACACTGAAAATAAAAAGTAACAGCTGCACACATCCATTAATAACTACAACATGAAAGTATGAATTTTCAATCAAAAAATTGTAAGATATCCAAAATGAAATATAACATCTATAGGATGTTTGTGAACTGAAATGAGTTGCAAAATCTTTGCCTCCAAGAAGACTTTTGGTCTCACCCTCTCTAAGACAGACATGATTCTTCTCTTGGAGTCCATGGTATTTTCAGTTCTCTTCTCCAGCAGTACAACACAAAGGCATTACTTATTCTTCTGTCATCCTTAGTCATTGTCCACCTCTCTGATGCGTAGCAAATAATTGTAAAGATGAAGGTCTAGATATACTTTAGCCTCTAGATTGACATCATTGCTCTTTAGCACTTTGGAGAGGTCCCCAACAGCACATTTCCCCAGTGCAATTCATTTTTCGATTTCCTGACTGCTGGTGCCAAAGTGCTGATTGTAGAGGCAGGTTAACAATTTGAATCTCTTCTAAATCCATCATGGTGCTGTGATTTGGCCCAGTGATGAGAATCTTTGCCTTGTTAATGTTAATCTTCAATCCATGAAGACTACAGTCCTTGACTTTCTGCAGCAAGCACTTCATGTCCTCTTCATTTTCAGCAAGCAAGGTTGTATCATCTGCATAATGCAGGTTGTTGATGAGTCTTCCTCCAATCCTGATGTCACATTCCTCTTCATAGAGCCCAGCCTCCAGATGATTTGTTCCACATATAGATTGAAAAGTTATGGAGGTAGGAAGCATCCCTGGTGTGCACCTTTCCTGATTTAGAACCATGCAGTGTTCCCCTGCTCTGTTCTGATGACTGCCTCCTGGTCCAATTGTATGTTTTGCATAAGCATGATTCCCATTTTTTTCATGGCTAGCTACAATTTACTGTGATTCCCACAGTTCAATGCATTTGTATAATCGATGAAACACAAATACACCTTCCTCTCATGCCAAAATCCATGTGATATTGGAAACAGTGTCTCTAGTGCCATGGCCTCTTCCAAGGTCAGCTTGTATTTCTGGTAGTTCACTGTTAATTTCTAGTTCTAGTTGTTGTTAGATAATCTTCAGCTGGACTTTGCTTGTGTGTGATATTAGTGACACTGTAAGATAATTTCCTCATTCCGTTTGTTCACCTGCTTTTGGGGATAGGAATAAATATGGATCTCTTCCAGTCAGTTGACCAGATAATTGTCTTCCAGATTTCTTGACACAGTCTGGTAAGCACATCCAAGGTGCATATGTTTGTTGAAATAAGTTAGTATGCTGTCAATTCCTGGGGCTTTTTTTGTTTTTTAAAAGAATATAAAATCATTTACTTACTACTATTCACCAGTTATTTATGATAAAGTCAACAATATACAATTGGATTAACATTCTGATTATTACAAGTTGATTTTCCTGGCTTCAGGTGAAACAGTAACCCAAATACTGAGAAAATCCAACATACATGTTTCTAGCCCAGCAGGACACCTAGGCTCCTTGCCCCCTGAGTACTAAAATGTTATGGAAAAATAAAGCAACTTCAAAGCAAGATGGCACTTCCTACAATGAACAAGATATGGAGTCAGTGGAACTTCAGGATGCAGAAAGAGTGATCGAATGGCCTGCCATGAAAGAACCATTGTCAAGTATTGGAACTGGATAAAAGAGAGGAAAAAAAGTAAGATACCAAAAAACAAAATGAAACAAAACCTAAACCAAAACAAAACAACAACTGTACAGGAACTTTAAAAGGCAATATAAGACAAAAGAGATAAAACAGATGAAGTACTAGCAATCACAGAAAACCAGGAAACCATAGAATGCAATAAATTCAGAATAATAAGATCAACATTTTAGAAACTATCAACATGTTTGAGAGACAGATGAACAGAACTGAAGGGATAGAACAGTGAAATAGAAGATAGAGCCCTTACCACTGATATGCTAAGCAAAAAGCAGAAACAGAAAGGAAGGAAAATAAAGCTTAAAAATAATGTGTAACAACATCAAGAGGAATAAAATACAAGTAACTGGAATTTCAAAACAAGAAGGAAAAAAAGACATAAATTGTGACAAACCTACTAAAAGAAAATTTTCCAGTTATCATAAAAATTAGAGAATATACATGCAAGGATTTAGGGCTGTTGTACACAGGGTCGCTATGAGTCACAAGCAACTCGATGGCACATAACAACAACCCAACAACATGTAAGAAGCTGAGCAAATCATAAATAGAATAGATTCCAAAAGAAAATAATCAAGAATTAGTACAATGGGCCAGAATCAAAGACAAGGAAATTCTTAAAGCAGCTAGAGAAAAATGAAGAGTAATTTATAAAGGAGAGCAAATGAGATTAAGATCCGATATCTCAGCATGAGTCATGTGAGCAAGATGATAGTAGAATAGCACACATCAAACACTTGAAGAACACACCTGCCAACCAAGAATACTGTACCTAGCCGAACTGTCCACCAAATACAATGGAGGGATAAAGATAGTCCCAGAAAAGCAGAAACTGTGGGAGTTCATGAAAATAAGACCAATGTAAGAAGCGTTAAAGGAAGTCCTTTTCATTGAGATTACAGAGTAGGAGATGAAGGAGCAACAATATAAAAAGAATCAAATAAGATGACAGCAATAAAATCTTATATTTTGGTAATTATTATACTGAATGTGAATGATATAAATACAACAGTAAAGAGGGGAAAATGCAACAGATTGTATTTAAAAAACCCTCAAAACATTCAAAGTTTGTGAACATGTTGTCGGTAAGTGACACACTTGAGACACAAAGGTAAAGAGAGACTGAAAATTCAGATGGGGGTTGTGAAATATACCTAATAAATGACAACCAAAAAAAGAGCAGGAATAGCAATATTAATCTCTAGTATAATAGACTTCAGGAAAAAAATCATCATAAATTTCAAGGAATAACACTATATATTGCTTAAAGTGTCAAGAAAATACAAGAACAGAACCAAAAGACATATCTATGCACCAAATAACAGACTTCCAAAGTACATAAAACAAATGTTAACAGAATTGAAAAAAGAAATATACAACACTACTCTTAACGAGAGAAAGGATGACCAGAAAGAACAAGTGACATTCCTAATATGCATGTAAAGGTGGTTCAACATGAGAAAAATTTATCACATCAACAGAATAAAGTATAAGAACTACATGATCATCTCAATTGATGAAGAAGAGGGTTTTGACAAAATTCAACATATTTAAGCTCATAATTGCGTGGATCACAACAAATTGTGGTTAACATTGAGGAGAATGAGAATCCCAGAACACTTGGTTATTCCTATATAAAACCTATACTTGGGCCAGGAGGGAGTCTTCAGAACAGAGCAGGGAAACACTGCTTAGTTCAAAATCAGGAAGGGAATTTATCAGGGTGTGTTCTGTCTCCATACCCTTTCAATCTCTATGCAGAACAAATCATTTAGAAGCCTGGGTTTTATGAGGAGGAATGTGGCATCAGGACTGAAGGAAGACTCATCAAAAACCTACCTTATGCAGATGATACAACCTTGCTTGCTGAAACTGAGGAGAACCTGAAGCTCTTGCTGCAGAAGGTCAAGGACTATAGTCTTCAATATGGATTGAAGTTTCAATATCAAGAAGACAAACAAATATTCTCACCACTGAGCCAAGTGGCAGCACCATAATGTATGGAGAAGAGATTGGGGTTGTTAACAGTTACAGCTTGCTCAGCTCCACAATCAATACTGTTGGCACCAGCAGCCAGGAAATCAAAAGACAAATTATATTAAATAAATATATTGTCAGGGACCTTTCCAGAGTACTGAGAAGCAATAATGTCAGTTTAGAGACCCAGGTGTGCCTGATTCAGTCCATGGTCTTCACAAGAGCTGGATAATGACTAAGGAT